CCCTTGTGGATTTGTTCATTTGAGTCATCACGTTAGTGTGATCTCTGTGTGTGATGATGTAAGGGCGAAGAGGGAGAACGGCCTATTGACATAGCTCGGGTGCAGGGGGGGGGGTTGTGTAAAAGCCTGGTTTGTGCCTCGGAGAGGCTACGGGATCTAGTAAGTTCAGTAGAACTTCGGTTTCAACCCTTTTGCCCTGTCGAAGCTCAGTCGATTAAGGCAGTGTCTGGGATGCTCCCGGACGCAGATTCAAATCCTCGTCACGGCCCTTGTGGATTTGTTCATTTGATGCATCACGTTAGTGTGATCTCTGTGTGTTCGCATCTGTTACTCTGCTTCGTATGCGTCGTTCTGCCCTGCTGGAGCTGGTTGCACTGCTCCTGCGGGTTGCGGTGTCGCTGTTTACGCTTCGCGTCTTGCGTGTCAGCTTGTGGTGCTCGCTTCCTCGTTGACCTCTGCCTGAGCCCTGGCTCTTTGGTTTCCATCACCATTTTGTCCTTGCTGTTTACAGAGTCTATGGTTCGGCCCTCTTCTTGTTGTCATTCGTTATTGGCCTTGTTGGTCCTTTCGGGGTCCCAGGGGGGGTTCCTCCCGGACCGGGCATATCTGCTCACCCGGATTGGTTCTTTCCCGGCTTGCCTGGTTTGGGTTCCTGGTTCCCTGGCAGACATTTCTTCTGGTTCCTAGTCAGCCTTGATTTCGATCGCTGTTCGCTCGGTGTCCGAACCCAGGGGCTTTTTCCCCTGGCTCCGCCTCTTCTTAATGGTCGGTCTTAACCTTGAGTCTTCCAGTCTGGTAATTTTGACTCGAGTCTCTCACCATCTTTGGTGATCAGGTGGCTTCGTTGATGGTGTCCCGCCTACATACTTCTTCTTGGCAGCGGTATGGGGGTTTTGCTAATGGTCCTTCCTTTTCTTTTTGTCTCTTCGTAGATATCCTGCATTTTTTGTTGACGTGGTCTTGTCCTTCTTTTTTGGGGGTTTGAGACTGTTCGGTTTTCATACTCCTCCTGCACCAACTCCTTCTGCACCAATGCGCGGGCTGTCTTGGACGTTGTTTGCCTCCGGCCTGCTCATGCACCGCCTGTGCTATCCTGGTCTTTGGCCGGCGTGCTCTTGTTTCTGTCTTCACCTCGGTTTGTTGTGGCCCCTTCCATTCAGGTTTTTCCGAAGCTTTTTCTTGTTTGTTTGCAGCTGTCTCGTTCTTTTCTGGCAAAGAATGAGTCTGCTGCTTTCTGGAGGGGTCTTTGGGTTGTTGATACTTAGTTGGTCAGGCCGGAGTTGCATCATGTGTTGTGTCTGGTTGCGGCCCTCCGCCGTTATTTGTGGGCCACGACTTCTTTGTCCGGGGATGCGCTTTGGGTTGATCCGGTTTCCCTTCTTCCCTGTTCGCGGATACGGGTTTCTCTGGTCATCCGCAGGGTTATTAAGTCTAGCCGGCCTGCGGTCTATCCCTGTGCCCATGACGTTGGTAAGTTTGTTGTTCTTGCTGCCGTCTTTGGTAACATATCCTGGGCTGACTTTCGGGCACGGGTTTTTTTGGCGGTCAAACAGGGTCGTGGCTGCATGCTACCATGCTACCTCCTGGGCCTAGTCAGGCCTGTGTCGATTTGGGTTGGCGGCTGCAGTCTGTCTCGCATTCGAGTTGAGATGTGGAGCACCAACCGCCTTCTAGTTAAGTCCCCTTTCTTCTTTTAAGTCTTTGGTGAAGTAGCTCTTGGTGAAGGGCTCTTTAGTGAAGGGAGCCGGTCGGCCGAGCGGACAGCATGCTGGACTTGTGATCCTGTGGTCCTGGGTTCAATCCCAGGCGCTGGCGAGAAACATTGGGCAGAGTTTCTTTCACCCTATGCCCCTGTTACCTAGCAGTAAAATAGGTACCTGGGTGTTAGTCAGCTGTCACGGGCTGCTTCCTGGGGGGGTGGAGGCCTGGTCGAGGACCGGGCCGCAGGGACACTAAAGCCCCGAAATCATCTCAAGATAACCTCAAGAAGCTCCGGGGAGCCATAGGGGCTTCCGTCAGAAAACCAGCGTTGAATGTAATGAAACACCATTATCTGGGTGACTCCTGGAGGCTCCCCAGCAACCCTCCCTCCTGTCGGCGGCTTTTGTGTATTTTGATATCCAGCCTCAGAACTGCAGGGTGGATCTCCCGCGTGGGGGGGGGTCTGGGCTCCTCCTTCCCCTTCCTGAGGAGGGGGGAGCTGCACAGATATGCGGTGCGGCTCGTGTGACGTCATACTTGTGTGCTCATTTTCATTTAGGGAGTTCTGTCCACGCGTTTGTCCATTTTCGTCGTTTTTAACCAGAATAGGAGTTTGTTTTGGGGCACTTACCTTTCTGGGTGCCTGTCCTGGTCGATGGCAGATATAGAATACTCCAAAATCACATGTGCCATAGGCTATAGGCCATTGCTCCTCGTGCCTCTCTGAGGGGGCCAGGTTCAGGCTCGTGGTCCCCGGTAGGCCTAGAACTCCACCCACATTGACTGATGCCAAAGTTAGGGATATCCATATCAGCCCGGATGGCTCCGAGGAGCCTCCGGGAAAATGGCATTTCATTACATTCAACGCTGGTTTTTTCTCTAATTTTTTCTCATTTTTTATTGGGTGATTTACATGAAACTTAAACACCTGACTGCATGTAAGCCTATTTGTATGGATGCCAATTTTTAAGGAAATTGGTTGATGTCAACCTCAGCCACAGGTGGCAGCATCTTTGACTTCATTTCTTTTCAAGTAACATAAAATTGACTCTACTCTTTTATTTTTTATTCAATTTACATGAAACTTACACCTTATATGTAGATATAAGATAAGAGTTATGTCTCTTATGTTATGTAGAGACATAACAACATAAAGTTGTTATGTCTCTACAACTTTTCTTAACACTTTTATCTTAAGTTCATTACTGATTTTATAAATATTTATAAACGTAATATATTTGCATAAATGTTTTGGAAACTTTGACTATTTATATTAGTAAAACTAAGCATTTTGGATAATCCGGTTGGTAAAATCCTTTATTATATGCTAATGTGATAGATGAGTGTCATAGAAATGATTTCATTTGAAACTTATGGTTGTAACGAATTTTTGAAAATGTTGAAAATTTGTGGATATTTTTTTTCCCCCTTTCTATTTAGGCTGCGATACTGAAACTTGGAACAGTTGCAGCCCTTTTCATATACAACTACAGTAGTCAAAAAAGTTTGGTTGACACTGAGCAACTTTTAATATCCTAAGTTATATCTCCCTAAAATTTATATCTTAAACTGTACAATATTTATACCATTATATGTTGATTTTTGTGTTAAGTGTATTACGATGCATTAATAATCATTAACATGTTTTATTGCTTCCTGTTTATTAATAAAACAAATAAACGTCTGTCGGTGGTGGGGGAGGGACGGGCTCACTCCAATAAGTTTATCACACTCGACCCCATCAGCCAGATTTGTTTCTTAAATTTTGGATGTACATCATCATCATATATTTTTGGTTACAGATTTTGTTTAGTAATACTATTACTAGGATAATAAAAAGTTATAAAAATACTTGTTTCATGAATGCATTATTGTATTAGATGGAGATTCCTGGAGGCTATCTCTGGCTGGTAATCTACTAAGCTAGCTACCTGGGGGGAGGGGGGTAGACCAGTAGTAATCAGGGTGGGAGGGAGAGCAGCAGTGAGGGTGAGAGGGAGAAGTAGATCAGGACATCTTTATTGGTGAGTGCAAACAAAATACTGTTGCATTTATGCTATGAACCTGTTAATTTGTTCCCCTAGATTTTTTCTTCTTCTTCTCTCCATTTTCTTCCATGCAAACTCTGTGAGCAGGAACTGCAGCATGATCTCCCACACAACATCACTGAATGCCCAGTTATTAGACCTTTCAGACGCGTTGGCATGAGGTACCTAGAGCTTTGCAATTACTTTATTCGCTCTCGTGCTCTTGAAGATATCCTCATATTGCATCCAAAATTTGCCAGTGCAGGCTACTAAACATATGGCCCTGTATGACTAACCATCCTGTGACCTTATTCATTCTTGTGTGATGATATCCTCATAATGCACCTGGGGTCTGCCAGTGCAAACTGCTTGTCACGTGCCTCTGTATGACTAACCATCCTGTGTGATGGGGATTTTTTGCATCACGTAGCTAGCTTTTTGACACTGTACTCCACATCATATAGTCTAAAATTTGTGTAGCTGCACAAATGCAGATTTGCATTTGTGCAAATCCTAATATATTAATAAAAAAAAAATTCCTCCATTTTTCGTTTATGAACTGACACGATAACCGATGGGTCTCATCCCCATGGGGTTCGCAAACCAAGTGGTCCTCTGTATAAGTATCAACAGGTTTTCGTCACCATAACTGTACAACTAAGCTGGTGTGATATCCAAACAACATAGCCACAACAAAATTGCATGACAAGAGACACAGCAGCCAGCAGACGACGCCAACTTCGTCACCAAAATGGCTCCTCCCAACATACTCTTTTTGCTGTTATTTCACTGCATACACTCACACACATGTTATATATAAGTATCTACATTTGTGTTCACCATAGTGAACTACTAAGCTGGTATGGTGAGTGCAGACAATAACAGGTGGCCACACAGTAGATACACTACCTCCCTCAGCATTACTCCTACCACCATACTATGCACAGTGCTAGTTGTCACAACAATCCTGTTATTATCAGAGTCAAAACTTTAAATGAGCTTACTTGTTATCTGGTTTTATATTACATGAGTGATAGTTTCAGACTAAGCACAAGAAAAAGGTAATGAGGGTAGGTGATATTATTGAAATGGGCCATGCAAAAGAAGTTTGAAGACCCCCTGCAATGCAATAGTCACCATTACAAATACTGTAGTCAGTATGCATGACAAACCACATTAGTGCATGTATTTTATTATAGATGTAGAAGTAATTGTGAGCAGCATTTTACCTATTATGTACAGTACCTAGTTATTAAAATATTGTATTTTCAGGGGAACCATTTAAGATTGATGAAGCCCTCCAAGTGATCCCCACTCCCGGCCACACCTCAGCAGATGTCAGCGTTGTGGTTGAGACACAAGACCTTGGAACTGTTGTTATTGCAGGTTGGACTTACAATGCTATATAAACAATGTTAATTGTTATATGAAACATTGTGTTTATTAAATTAAAATCTGGAGTTGCAGCAAAGATTATAATTTTAATTATTCATTGCCTACAGGTGACCTTTTTGAAAGAGAAGAGGATATTGCAGATCCATCACTTTGGAAGTATATTGCAGGAAGTGAGAATCCAGAATCACAGGAAAAAAATCGAAATAAAGTACTTGTCATGGCAGATTATATAATTCCAGGCCACGGCCCCATGTTTAAAGTTACTGAACATATGAAAGAGGCAGCTAAAGGATCATCATTTAATGGAACTTAACTGACAAATAAGTATTATATAAATAATAGTGTGTGTGTGTGTGTGTGTGTTTTCAGCCAGTTACCCAACAAACAGTTACCTTGAAGGTACTGTACTGAAAAACTGCTTCATATTATAATGCACACATGGGTGCACACAGTCACACACTACACTTCTCTCTCACTCTCATTCATAGCCCAACACATGATGCTCACAATATTTTACAAATTTTTTGTTTGGAAAGTACTATTATTTAAAATAAAGTTAAGGATTTAAGAGGTACACAATCACAGCATATGTGATTGTTTAAATCATATCTGATGATATTTGTTTTTAATCTTACAATGTTTACAACTATAAAATATTGTTAAAAACACATGATCATTGTTAGGTACAAAATGAATTGTGATCCTTGTGTATAAGATTTTCTCTGTATTTTACAATTGATGAGTACAGAGAAATTTAAATATCATAACAGTACTCTGTATATAAATGGAATAAATGGAATGGATTTACCATTTCTGTTATATCTGTTTGTTAACACCTATTTGCATTTATTGTTGTAAAATATATACTGTATGCTGTGCCTGTGTACTGTACCAATATAATCTGGGGTTGATCTCGGTAACTATCCGTAACATGTGTGACACGGCTGAGGAAGCTTTACCCCTTTAACTGCGCAACGCGCCTGCAGGCCCAGGCTTCGGGTGCGCAATGCGCCTCCGGGTGTTTTTATTTTTCACGTTCCATTCAAAACTCCCGCGGCTACATGGGGTTCATATCAGCTTCCTCAGGGGTCTTGTAAACAGACGCCATCTTAAAAAAAAATCATGGTCCACATTGCCGGGTGTCAGAGCCTCAGTAGTGAGTGAGCAACCAAGGCTGGCACTCGCATCATGAGCGCACAGCATCATCAGCGTGTGACCACAGCATTGCCTAATATTATCAAAATATATATATATATAATCTGTTTTATTTAGCCATGATAGTATTATAGAAGAGCCCGAGTGTGATAATGACTGGGTACAATGTTCAAATATCAGTGATTCAATGCTGTTCACAATGTTCACAGCGTTAGCCACAGCACCACAGCATTATTTCGTCCATCTAGGAATCTTCAAACGAATTTTTAGGTTCCTTTTCAAAATAAACTTGTGGTCAATTATTCATTTACAGGTATTAGTGACCAGGATTGTGGTTATAATGAGCGTTGTGCGTAGGAAGGAGGAAGTTTGGTGAGGGAGGGAGGAAGGGAGAGAATTGAGGTAGCCTCACTGTGTGGCAGTAACTCTTGTTTTGCTCACCATACTAGCTTCGTGGTTCGCTATGGGGAACACACATGTACATGGGTACATACAGTGTGTGTGAATAGTGTAATAACAGCACTAGGAGTATGTTGTGTGGAGCTATTTTGGTGAGGGAGGTGACGTCGTAATCGTGGCTTCGTCTGCTGTCTGCTGAGTGATTTGTCATGCAGTGTATGGTGGCCACTGTACTTTTTGGACACAATACCGACTCACTTGCATAGTTCTGGTAAATAAAACATGTAGATAGGTATATATAACATGTGTAAATAGTGTAATAAATACGATAACAGTATGATGGGAGGAGCAATGTTGGCGAGTAAGACGGATTGAGGGAGGACTGGCTGGGTGTGGCTGCTCATACTCGTGGTGTTCTGAATGTATATAGTGTGTGACAGTGTACAGTCTGTAAATAGATTGTATATATACATAAATTAGCATGATACATAGTAAATATGTGCAACATATGTGTACACAAGTGTCATGCACGTAACACTGTCCTCAGACAGTACGGATGTTTTACTGCCATAATATAGTGTACGTGTTCATTATACATAGGATTAGTACGTAAAAACAAAATGTATTTGGAACTGTGCGCAAAAAATGAACAAAAATATATTCGCGACAACTCGCGCGCCCTGCCCCGGGCGCCCCACCGGCCCCGGGAGGTTACTGCACGGGCGAACGAGGAATGATAACATCACGTGCCAACTTACGGACCCCATAGCAGCCAAAGTAAGTACAAGTTCGAATTTTTTTTGACATACCCATACTGGTGGAAGGATTTTTGACACTTTAACCCTTAAATGGCGCATAGCTATATACCATTTGACACCCACAGGTGCATACAAAAAAAAAAAAAAAAAAAATTATTTTTTCTTCCTAATCTGTTAATTTGTGTTCACTGATCACGGGAAAAATAATAAAAAAATCGTAAGTGGCATATATTGCCCACTCTAGGGCGGGGAATTGTGGCAAAAATCAGGCGCTGACTGAGCGTGCGTCCCAGGCGGTCTGTTGATCGCCAGTTGTCAGGCCGGAGTTATCACAAAGAGATAATTAACTAATTATTTCAATGTCTCTGATTGATTTTTCGTAGTTTTTTTGCTGTAATATTATTCAATAGTGTGTAGTGTGATATATTTACATAATAAAATGAGTGAATCTTCGCTGTACTCAAAAATATGGTGTGCATATTGTTGATTCAATTATGTTCATCAAACAGTGAACAAATACTTTGTCGGTTATTACACTATATACACAGTTTATATATAAGTATCTGCATGTTTTATTCACCATGACGAACCACTAAGTTGGTATACTGAGTGGCAGTGGCAGTGGCAGGCAATGACTGGCTGCCACTGGCTGCCACTCCCTCACCTCACCTCACCTGACTTGCCACCATTCTCCACCCACCATACTGTTTTTGCTTTTATATACAGACGTTATATATAAGTATTTACATGTTTTGTTCACCATAACTGTACATCTAAACTTGTATGGTGAGTAAAGGCACAAAGACGTAGCTACTCACACAGTCAGCTGGTGGCGGCCGCCCTCAAGGCCAGACGCACTAATATTTCTCCTACAACAATACTGTTTGTGGTGTTATTACGCTATATACACACATTATATATAAATATCTACCTGTTTTATTCACCATACTTGTACAAGTAAACTGGTATGGTGCCCAAAGACCATCGTGGTCATCAGTAAACAACATGGTAAGTCCTGCAGACGACGCTCCTCCCTCACCAAAATGGCGGCTCCCAACCTCTTACTCTTGCTGTTATCTCACACTATACACACGTTATATATAAGTATCTACATTTGTGTTCACCATAGCGAACCACTAAGCTGGTATGGTGAGTGCAGTCAATAAAAGGTGGCCACACACACTCAAAAGACAACTCCACCATCCTCCCTCCCACAGCATTACTCCTTCCTCTATGGTGCACAGCGCCAAATATCACCACAATCCTGCTATTATCAGAACCCTGGTCAGTTTTATCACAGTCAGGGGTCTTCTGTAATAATATCATTGCTACATAATAGCATGAACAAATATATTATGGCATTTTTAGGCGATGCTGTGGTCACAAGCTGAACAGCAGTGCTGTGAGTTCATGCTGCGTGCGTCAGGCTTGGTAGCTGACTCAATACTGAGGCCCCTAACACCTGGGAGTTTGGCCCACGATTTTTTAAAAAAATGGCGTCTGTTTACAAGAGCCCTGATGAAGGGGTGGTGAACCCCGTGTATCCGCAGGCCGTTTAAATCTTGCGTAGTACTCCAAAGCATCACATGATGTGATGCGCAATTGAAGGGTTAAAAAAACAAAAGAATTTTTTCAAGAGAATTTATTTCCTGCGCACTGGGGGGTGTCATATTTATAGGCCTCGCAGTTAAAGGGTTAAAGTACTGTAATGTATAAGATTTAAAAGTCCTGCATGTACACAGGGCTCACTTCTGCATCCTCAGGCCTCCAGTAAACACATGCCCTCTTGGAAAAAATACAGGGCACCTCTCCTAGTGGGCATGAGAGAATCAGTTTTGAGTTAACAATCACTTGTAGCATATGCAGCAACAGCAGCAGCTCACAGTACTGCCATGCAGCCTGTGCCCACAACATCTCTTAAAAGGAAAATAAGCAACTATGATTAATGTTGAAAGTGTCATGGAAGATCCTGGTTGTGATGAAAACTCTATACAAGGTTCAGATATCAGTGAACCCAATGTTGGTAACGATGTTCACAGCATGAGACAGACATCCATAGCACACGGCTGCAGTTTGGTGCATTTATGCATCGTGAAACATGACCTCATGCTTAGAAAATAAACTTGTAGAAAATTATTCATATTGAGGATTTAGTGACCAGGATTGTCATGATAATAGCAGTGTTGTAGTTAGAGTTAGAAATGTTCATAATATAATGGGAGTATTTTGTTGTCAGGTGGCATCGACAATTGATTAGCATTTGATGCTATGCTGTGCTTGGCTTATGCGATTACCCCACACCCACCAGACCTGCATAGTAGTTCATAATGGTGCATAAAAATGTAGATAGTTATGTAATTATGTTATGTAATACTGTAACAGGAAAACTGTGTGTTTTCTGCGGGGAGCCCCGTCGGCTCCCCGGAGCTTTGCCAGGCTGATATGCTAATGTCAGACTTTGGCATCAGTCATGTGTATGGAGTTCTTAAGCCTACCGGGGACCACGGCCAGAATCGGGCCCCCTCAGAGATGCAAGGGGAGCAATGGCCTATAGAAACCCTGTGTGGTTGGAAGCATTTTATGTCTGCCATCGACCGGAACAGGCACCCAGAAAGGTAAGCGCCTCAAAACAAACCCCTATTCTGGTTAAAATTGCTACCAAAAGCCGAACTAGTGGATAGAACTCCCCAACAGAAAACAAGCAAACTAGTGTGACGTCACACGTCGCCGCGCCGCTGTCTGCGCAGCTTCCTCCCCCTCCTCAGGAGGGGGAAGGGGGAGCCCCAGACCACCCACGCCGGCTACCCACACCTCAGTTCTTGAGGCTGATGCTATAGGCGAAGGTCGTGTGCTCTGGCTCCAGTGTCACTACAGCTCTGTGCTTTGTGTGTGGTGTTTGTTTTTGTGGGTGTGAGAGCCAGGAGTTATCTTCAGTACTCGGGCTGCATGCGCCTAGGACTTCCTTTCCTAGGTGCCCTGTAAGTACTGCCATTGGGGCTTGGGGCCACCTTCCACAGGCTCCTCGGGGTCTGCCTCTGCTGGTCCGTTTTACCTTTTCGGTTTTTTGGCTGCCTGTTGGGCTCTTGGGTGTTCTGTTCTCCCTTGTTACCAGCAGGTAAGTGGCAGTTTGCACTGGTAGGGGCACAGGGTGCTGCACAGCTTGTATTCCCGACATAGCGGCCGGCTCTGTTCCTTGGGGTTCGTTGTCCTCTTGCGAGGATTTGTTTTATTTTTTGTTTTTGCCTGGTGGGGGGTTCTGCCCTCTTATTCCACTGGTGTTCGCCCTTCCACGGTTCTCCTCGGTGGCGTCCTCTGCTAGGTCCCCGTGAGTGTACACGTCCCTGGGTACAGCTATAGAAGTTCTCTTCGTAGTCTTGGGCGCCGGTTAGCAGCGTGGCCTGGGACTACCTGAGCGCGAGTCCTCTGAAAGTAAATGCTCAGGACCCTGGGAATCCCCTAGGGGGCGCGTGGGTCCGATGGATGTGACCCCGGAGTCCCCGCTCGCTG